TCTATTTTATTTATTATTTTCACTACAATGAAAAAAAGAGGCATGTCTTATTAGTTCAGTGCAGTAATAGTATGGTATCTTTACTGGTTTTTGTTTTCACTGTAGTGGGCAAGCGAGCATGGAGATACTAAAAATAACATTGCTTTACTCTAGCAGTAATTTATGATGGCCCCTAAATAAAACCCCAGTGTTAAGATATAGGGCTCAGTTACCCAGAGCCCTAGAGAGATAAGAGTTACGACACTCCCATAGACCTCCGTTGTAAAAAATGGCGGCGCCTACTTCCGGGGTATGGACATCGAAATAGTTCAAAAATATTGTCATTTGGGCGTTGGACCTCATTCACTTACATTACGGCGCGTCGATTAGTTCCAGAGGTAAGTTGCTGAAATATCGAACTCTTTTGAATTGTCAACTGTCTATATTGTATCAGAGGCCCTTTATGATGCTTATACTGGTCTTCATTTGTATATGCACAGCGTAATTATCTATATTTTATCTTGGTTGTTACAACCAATTTAGCTAGCATTGCCTGCTAGTTAGCTAGCGCGACTTCGTCAGCTTTGAAGGTAATATTTCAGTAATGAATCGCTAGCAGCTTATATATCAATGATGCTGGGTAACTAACAAGCAGGATTTAGATTGATTATGTGTTTTTATTGTTATTTTGGTTTTTATCCGCTGAACCTGACCGTGTCAGCCATCCTTAGTCGGCTTTTTTCTGTATGATATGACTTAACTGCTAGCACTAGTAGAAATGAGGTGGCGTTTGTGATAAATATTTCATTTAATATTTCATTGAATTTTGGGATATACTAACATTTCATTATCTGACATGTTGACTGTACTTTGTTTTTTTTGGTACTGTTCCGTGTTAACTCATCTGTACTGTACAACTAGCCTAGCGCTACTCATGCTTGATGGCATGCTAGGATAGATTCCTTTGTATTGTAATATACACACTAGTTCAGGGGTGGCCAACCAGTCAGAGGTTAAGAGCCACATGTTTTCTATGTTACTGCAAAGAGCCACATCAAACACACAGTCACTGATATTGTTTCAGTTTTTAGTTTTCTGGAGACAAGATTTCAACCACGTCACTGATGCATTTTTGTGGCATTGGGATATATATTTTTTAAATCCTCTGGAGCAGAGAGAGGAGCTGTGGATTATTGTTATTGATTAATCCATCAGTGTTTCTTAGGGTCAAAAACACTAAACCCAAAATTTAAGATGAAAGCGTTTAGTTTATTTAATAAAAGAGCACATGTTCAATGTGAAAAGTGACAGTAGTTATAGATTATTTGCAATTTGGTGCTATATATATATATTATTTTTTTTAAATTATATATATATATAACACCTTGAATTTCATGGGGGGCGCGGGGCTCCGTTGGCGGTATTATTGTGATTGGCTCTTGGGCCACATCAAAATTAGATGCCTGTCATCCTCTCATACTGACACCTGACACCACACATACACACGTAGGGAGAGCCGGAGCAATTTTATCCGAGCCCAAACAACTTTGAGCGGCCAAATTACGTCAGAATGATCAGCATTCAATACTTAACAGACCTACTAAATATCAGGTTTAACTGTCAGGAGTAGTGTTGTCACGATACCAACATTTTGGTTTCGATACCAAGTCAAGAATTGCGATTCCGATTCTTTTTCTTAAAAAAAGGGAAACAGTCTTAAATGTAATTGTGCTTTATTTCACACCAGAACCATAACCATAACACAAACTTTTAAACAATGAGAACAATAAATACAATAAAGGACAAGAATTCGTATTAAATCAAATTAATACATTTCTGACAGACAGGCCTCGTGGTGTCCGTAGGCTTGCCCTCACTGTCAGAGACATATCTAAAATACATCAAAATGTCGCTTCTGGCGTCTTTTTTGTCAACAAGCCGAGGCGCAGCAGCAGCTGCACTCCCACTTGCAGCCATGCTTCTCGTTTTCTCACATGCTCTGGCAGCTAGCGCGTGGCCGCGTGCACTAGAGAGGGGAGGGACTTAGAGCGTGCTTGAGAGGGAGGGACTACAGGCACCGCTGCAGTGCAGGGAGTGAAAGCAGAGCGCTGAACACACACGGCTCTTATTAAAACAGCGCTTTCTCACCGGAGTACTTTCCCCCGTCACTCTTAAAGTACCGATACTAATGAAACGGAGGAATCGTAACGTTTTTAACGGCAGGGTATACCTTTCAAGTATCGGTACACCGTGCAACACTAGTCAGGAGTCAGTGTCTCTCCCCCAAACTCACACATACAATTCGATATGAACTGAAGAGCCGCATGAAACTAGGCAAAGAGCCGCATGCGGCTCGAGAGCCGCGGGTTGGCCACCCCTGCACTAGTTTAATGATTGTTCTTCAAAGGTATTATTCAGTCTTAAACAAATAATAGCCTACTGAATAGGCTACTCTACAGCAGTGAATGAAGGATGAGCCTAAAACATGGTCATGCATCCAAAATGTTTATTTTTAACAAAATAAACACTTAAAAAAAAATAATTAGCACTTTTTTTTTTTCACCCACAGTGACAACGCGCAGAGCATATTGGAACTCTACAGGTGTTGGGACAGAGTTCCTCAGACGAATGGACGAAAATGTGTTTTCCAGGCAGTCTGAGTGAAGCGGCTTGTGAGAACAAATTTGTGCCCTTGTCTCAACAGGTTATGCTGGACCTCCAGGATTGTTGTTGTGGCCATCACCAGTCCTGTCTGGACTGGTTTCCAGCTGCCCTTGGGACCGATCTTCAGGCCCCGAAACAGATGGATGGAGTCCCGGAGGAAGCTGATGGCCTTATCATACTCCTCCATCTTGAAATGACTTAGGGCAGTAACAGTGTTGCGTGACGACATGAGGTCAAACTTTTTGGTGTCCAATGTTCAGTCACTGTATTGGTAGGCAACAATTTGTTTTGGCCAAAATGTGTTATTCACACTCCTGACTCCAGTTTGATGTGCTGCATTCTCCTCTGAGAGGTCATGGCTTGGAAGGTTTTATATTCTGTAGTGTCTCAACAGAACCTAATATGAATTGCTTTATTGTCTCGTCGCTGGATCACCTCCCCCTGGCAAAGTGGCCTCGTTATTGTTGACAAACCTGTTTTTGTTGCTGGTTCAACAGGAGCTTCTGTAAATAGTTTTGTAAATAGTTTGAATATTTATCATAGTAATAATTTTTAGTCTCCCACTCTCTCAATTTAATTTATCGTTTCTTTGCCCCACCATATGTTTTGTTGTCCAAGGGCACTAATTTGGTCTGTGTTGAAGATTGTTTTACACTTTAGATTAATCAAAATTGTGTTTTTTGGCTGAATTAATCTTTTTCTGTTGAACCCTAACCCTCTTTGTTCTCCTTCTCATTCATTTTACTTTGTTTTGTTCTAACACACATCCCACATCACATCACTTTTTCCATACACTGTTCTTAATACTTGTTCGTCCATTTTACTTTGTTCTTCCTGTTGTTCTTGTTCAAACACATATATCAATTGTTCATCCACTGTTGTGGTAAAATGATATTCATAGTCTTAACATGATCATGCTACCCATGCTAACATGAACACAAACGTTTCCCTCCAAAAATGTAAAACGTATCTAGTACAGGCATGAAAACGGGTCAGGGGTGAAAAAGGTGAGAAGGATATTATCCCTCTAGGGGGGTCCGGGGGCATGCTCCCCCAGAAGAACATTTTGAATATTCCATATTTTAAAGCATCAATCTGATGCATTTTGAGATGCATTTTTTTGCCAACCTGGGGAGAGCTGGAGAAACTTAACTTCAGCCATGAGTCAAAAATATTATGGCCTCCTTACTAAGTATTATCAGGGATGCAAACTCATCAGATATGGAAAAGGTGACAAGGACCCGAGCCCCCCGACCCCACGGAATATCGGCTTTAAAATGAGGAATAACAGAGGATTTTAGCAGTCAAAACAACTAAAGCAGCAGTGTTAATAATAACAGAAACGCTAAAGAGTCACATCTAATAGAAATATATAAAAGCATTTATTTTAATTGTGTAGCAGTCAGTTTATAATTTTGGCAGCACTGTTGAGCATTTTGAAAATCTATTGTCATGCCTCTGTGCAAGGCTTAGTCTTTCTATCTTTATGGCATCTGGTGTAAAGTAACTAAATTCATAAACTCAAGTACTATAGCCTACTTGGGTACAATTTTGAGATACTTGTACTTTATTTAAGTATTTCAATGTTTTGCTACTTTGTTCTTCTTCTCCTCTACAGTTCAGAGGTAAATTGTGTACTTTTACTCCACTACATTTATGTAATACCTTTAGTTACTTTGCAGATGTGGATGAATGATGTGAAATCTAATCAAGTGTTGAATCAGACTTTAGTTAAAACTGTCAATAAAAAGTATGCAATAATGCAATTACAGCTGAAAAAGTACTTGGGTGTGTGTTTTTTTTATATATATATATATATATATTTACCATTCAATAACGCAATCGCTGCTGTCTGTCTGTCCCATAGAAGAACATGACAGCGCAGCGCAACTATACTACGGACGTGACTGCCCTGGCAGTGACAGCAACATAGCCTGCTTGTGCTACCACACTTTCCCCTCAAAATATTGTTAAATAACGAAATTTATAAATAGTGCCAATCCATACAAAGTGTAACCACATCATGTAAATATGAAAGCAATCTTTAAAAAATAACAGCGTTGGTTTAATCTATGACTATTTTGACCATGTTTGTGCTGTTTTTGCCATAGAGAAGCATTGCAACGGAAGTGCGTTTTGAACTATCCCGGCATACATAAACCACGTGACCGGCTGGCGGCGACATCAAAGAGTGTCGTAACTCTTATCGCTCTAGGGCTCTGCAGTTACCATGCTGTAACTGCCTCAGTATGTGAAACTGAAGCAGGAGTTAACGTCTGTAGAGTATCCAACCTAAAACTAACTTCATCGCCGTTTGCACTTTGCACTCCAAAGGTCCGTTTTCTGCATTCACTGTGAGTTGAACCTGGTCAATCAGTTGTCAGAGCTTTGTTTTACAAACACACACACACTGTCATTTTCTATCCGAGTTTGGCTCATAAAAAAGGAAGAGGCTTCTAAAGTGTAAGGCTAAGTTGAATGACATAAACTACGGTGAGTCATACTCTGTCCTATATGTGTTTCTTATTGCCAGATTACTGGCTCAAAAGTTTCACCTTTATAAAAATGTTTATTTGTTTATCTGGTTATTGTTAGTATTATTATTATGAATTACTGCTTATCTTTCTTACAGTGCAGACGCTTTTCTGCTTGCTCCTGCCTCTGCTTACTTTTTATGCTGATTTTCCTATTCTTATTCTCTGAAAACTTCGAGCAGCGGCTCCTGGACATTAACTTATCACTGGGACAGTTCATCTTCGTAAATAGACGGAGGGTCTCAGCCATATTTCAACATTTTTACGACGACGTCAGTCTTACAATAGCGTGGCCTAGCAACAGCTAAAGCCTGGTAGGCTACTGCTATTTAGCTAGTTGGTAGCAAAATGCCTCCGTTCTCTACAGATGACTTCCAGAAACTTATACAGAAGATGGCTGTGTTGGAAATGAAAATGCAACGGTTGGAAGTTAACGTGGAAGTGAATGGACTATGTCGTGGGAATGACACGACTTTACCAGTGTTGCAAAATAATGGAGAAGGGTATACTAACTCACAGCTAGTTAGCAGCTACAAGGATTCCAAGGAACAGGAGGGCTGTGTACCGGGTAATAAATCTACAAGTGGTAGTCCTCCCTGGAACTCTCTGGGTGCAAAGCCTAACGGGCCGTCCACACAGCAGCTTTGACCAAATCTTGAAAATCCTGGAGCTGGGCGTGTCTGACAGCTTGAGGATTTCGCGACCAACAACCAATCACATGAATATCACATGAATATCCCGCCCCCGAAATACAAAGCAAAACAACCCGGTTCTTCTCCAGTGCTTCTCAAAGTGTGGTCCGCGGACCACTGGTGGTCCGTGAGCTCCCCCTAGTGGTCCGTGAGTATATTGGTAAAATGTCACATTTTTAATTAATTTAAGTTTTCCGCACTCTCGCGGGAATATCTCCGCAATGGAACGAGCTTAAGTTTCACTTTCGATTGCATGATATAACCCAGATAAACATCTTCATCACACATGTTGCCACTTGTTTGTAAAAATGTCTGGCGATTTGTAAAAAACGATGTGTTTTTGGATATTTGTGGAGTTAGGTGGTCTGCGAGTGTTTTTTTATTGGTTAAGTGGTCCTTGGTATGAAAAAGTTTGAGAAACACTGTTCTACACTATTGTCAAATAGGAAGGGCTATGATGAACATTTATTTTTTTTAACATTTTGAACATTTATGAGATTAATGTTTATGGTGCTATTTTATGCTACATTCCATGCGGGCTAATGATACTGTCTATGCTTGCTAGCAACGAAGTAAACTAGCAACGAAGTAAACTGGATAAAAAATCCCCAAACAAGCGAAAACCTACCAGTTTCACCCACTGTCTCTGGCACCTCCCTCCATGCCTGGTTCCTCCGGTTTGTATCCCGGTAAATAGTCTGGTCGTAAAGAACCGGGTGATTTGCTACCGTAATTTCTCGTTTGGAATATGAGGAAATGAACTGGTCTGTCTGGTTCTCCCTGCTTACACGCGGTTTGATTGGCTAGAGCTTGAACTGTCAGATTTGCATAAACGGATCTGATTGGCTGTCGCTTCCAGCTCAGTCTCAAAAGTTGAACATTGTTCAACTTTGGAATCCTGAACATCCTGGAAATCCTGGAAATCTTCGCCTCGCCCCCCCCACAATGCAATTCGGCGACAAGCGAGGGAAAGTGACGTCATCCCCATTCAAAGTCAATGGGCGGAGACGCGCTGGAAGCGGTGGACAAATCACCAAAAGCTGCTGTGTGGACGGGCCGTGAGAGTAAATCATTTCCATGGGATTTGGGAGGACGGATAACAGGCAGAGCCCAGAGCTCCGAAATCTGTGATGCGACCGGCTGGCCTGCATTGTTATCACCCAGGAAGAGCGCCCTCTTCAACCCCTATTCATACTAGGAAACAGCAGTGGACAGCTGCTAAAGGGAGAATTACAAACAATCCTCCTAAACCACCAAGTGTGCCAATCCAGAACAGATACGCTCCGCTGACCGAGAACCGGAGATCTGATGACCTGGATAACCTGTCCTCTTCACGCAGCAGGGTAAGGACCAATAGCTACTCTAAAAGTAAAAGGCTAGAGGGAAAGCTAACGACTGGGCCTGAACTCTGATTGTGGGTGACTCTGCTGTAAGAGATGTAAAAGGTCTGTGTAATAAGAACAACACCAAAGTACTCTGTTTTCCCAAGGATGTGGTCTCTGACTCGGCTGAGAAGATCCTGCATATTGGGGCTGAACATCCGACTGTGAAGAATGTGGTACTGCACATTGGAACAAATGATGTTGTGAAACAACAGTCAGAAGTGCTGAAAGAAGACTTTAAATGTTTGTTGGAAACTGCCAGCTCTCTAAATGCAGAGGTGTTCATCAGTGGCCCTCTACCGCCAGTCAGAAGAGGAGTGGAGAGATTCAGCAGATTGTTTGCACTGAACACCTGCCTTTCAACGGCCTGTACTGACCATTCTGTTCATTTTATTGACAATTTTAACTTTTTCTGGGATCGCAGACATCTTTTCAAGGCAAATGGAGTTTGCCTGAACAAGTCAGGAGTGAAATTGTTTATCTCTAACATATTCAACTGCCTGCGTCATCAATCTGTTCCCTCTGCCAAGGACAAGCGGCAAGAGGAATCAAAACAAGAGAAAGACACAACACATCACGCAGAAAACCCTGAAGAATTATCACTGCACCCGCCTGAGGAATGTTCTGATTATGGGAGACCTATGAGACAAATGGAGGAGTCTCCACTGCCCGTCACCCCCCCCCCCCCCCCCCCTGTCAACGCCTTTGAGGATACTCCGTTCACCCTTTCACCCTCGCCCACCCTCCTGGAGATCGATGAACACACAAAGGAGATACAGAGGGTTGGCACCGATTCCTTCCTGGAGTTCAAAGACCAAACGAAGGCAATACGCAGGGCTGGCACCATGTCCTTTACCCCCGCTCCTCAACGACGCCCACCAAAATCACCGCGGAGACGCGCACCATCTCCCCCGTCCTCATCACCGCGCCTACGTCAACCACCTCCCCCCCTGCCAGCATGTCCTCTACCCCCGCACCATCTCGCCCGTCTCCATCACCGTGCCTACGTCGACCACCTCCCCTCCCTTCGAGGGGGCATCTGCAGTCTCCGAAGCCTGATAAGGATGTGTGTGTGTACAAAACACAACAAACTCTTACTGATATGTGATGGGTCCAGGCTCAAGGGCGTATGGCACTCTCAACTCTTTCCAGGACATGTCGGGGCCCTGCCTGCCAGTAGCTTTGCCGATATCTGTGTTGATAGGTAATAGATTAAGAGCGGTGAATCATAGAAACAGGAAGCGCTCAAACGTTTGTGTGAGTGTATCTAATTTAGCAGTGATTCCATGTCAGCCACAGCTTGTTACAAAAAACATGACTGATAGTGTGTTTAACAAACTTAAACTAGCTTTATTAAATGTCAGGTCTTTGGCAGGAAAAACATTTTTAATCAATGATTTTATCACTGAGCACAATCTCGATTTTATGTTTTTAACAGAAACTTGGATTGAACAAAATAACAGTGCAGCTGTTCTTATCGAATCAACCCCTCCCAACTTTAGTTTTATGAGTCAGGAAAGAATGCATAAGAAAGGGGGTGGAGTTGCTATTCTGTTCAATGATTCCCTTCAATGCAGGAAGACATCGTATGGAAACTTTGATTCTTTTGAATATGTGGCCCTTCGGCTGAAATGCTCCTCTCGAGCTCTGTTCCTAAATATCTATAGACCACCCAAATACTGTGCAAGCTTTTTTGATGACTTTACTGAACTGCTTGTCTATAGTGTGTATTGACTTTGACCGTCTAGTCATTGTTGGTGATTTTAACATCCATGTTGACAACCCCCAGGACAGAGGGGCTAAATAACTGTTTTGTGTTCTTGATAGCTATGGACTGACTCAGCATGTGACGGAGCCCACGCACAATAAGGGGCACACTCTGGACTTAATTATCTCAAAGGGTGTGAATATCTCTAAGGTTGTGGTGACTGATGTTGCACTCTCTGACCATTCCTGTGTTTTCTTTGAGAGCTCTATTTCTGTTCACAAAAATGTTCAAAAAGAGGTAACCACAAAGCGATGTTTAACTGAAAATACTAGGGAAATGTTTACTCAGAATTTCTCTTCCACACTTGCCCCTGCCAACATCTCAGTAAATGAGCTAGTAGATCATTTTAATTCAAAAATTAAAAATGTTATAGATGCCATTGCTCCAACTAAGGTAAAGGAAGTGACTGGCAAGAAAATATCTCCATGGAGAAAGGCCATGAGCGTGAAAACAGAAAAAAGAGAATGTCGAAAAGCTAAACGCAGGTGGCGAAAAACAAAACTCCAGGTTCACTTTGAAATCTATAAAGAGAGACTTGGCCTTTATAATTTGGAATTGAAAAACGCACGACAATCGTTCTTCTCTGACATCATTACCAAAAACAAAAACAACGCACGTGCCTTGTTTGCTACTGTCGACAGACTAACTAACCCCCCAGTGTCAGTAGCCTCTGAATTGCTATCTACCAGGGCGTGCAATGATTTTGCCTCCTTTTTCACTGACAAAATTCAGAAAATCAGACAAGCAGTCAGTGCCTCTGCATCAGGAACAGCAAATGTGTTGTCCCTATCTCCACTTAACATCAATTCAGACATCATGACACAGTTCCATCAGATTAATGATAAAAACCTAGAGGACATTATTCAACTTCTGAAATCCTCCTCCTGCTGCCTTGATATTATTCCAACAGGATTTTTCAAAGATGTTTTGCCTTGCATGGCCTCAGATCTACTTCATACAGTAAACAAATCTCTTCACTCAGGTATTTTTCCACAGGCCCTGAAAACTGCAGTCATTAAACCGCTCTTAAAAAAGAATAATCTAGATGCTTCAGTAATGAACAATTACAGGCCCATATCAAACCTCCCATTTCTAGGTAAAATCATTGAAAAAGTTGTTTTTCAACAGTTGAGTAATTTCTTGCATTTAAATAACTGTTTTGATGTGTTCCAGTCAGGCTTTCGTCCAAACCACAGCACTGAGACTGCTCTTGTAAAGGTCTTTAATGACATCCACTTAAACACAGACAGTGGCAGAACTTCAGTGTTTAGTATTATTAGATCTCAGTGCTGTGTTTGACACTGTTGACCACAGCATATTACTAGACCGACTGGAAAACTGGGTGGGACTTTCGGAAACAGTTCTGAATTGGTTTGAATCCTACTTAAAGGACAGAAACAACTTTGTTTCTATAGGTAAATACACATCTGAGTTGACAAATATGACATGTGGGGTTCCTCAAGGCTCCATCTTGGGGCCTCTTCTCTTTAACATCTACATGCTACCACTGGCTCAGATAATGAAGAACAACAAAATAAGTTACCATAGCTATGCAGATGACACACAAATTTATGTGACAATTTCACCAGGAGACTATGCTCCAATTCAAACACTGAGTAAGTGCATTGAACAAATCAATGACTGGATGTGTCAGAACTTTCTCCAATTAAACAAAGATAAAACTGAGGTAATGGTTTTTGGAGCCAAGTCAGAACGTTTAAAAGTTAGTGCTGAGCTTCAGTCTGCAATGTTCAAAACAACAGATAAAGCCAGAAATCTAGGTGTAGTCATGGACTCTGACCTGAGTTTCAACAGTCACATTAAAACAGTTACTAAATCAGCCTACTATCACCTAAAGAATATATCTAGGATTAAAAGACTAATGTCACAGCAGGATTTGGAAAAACTTGTCCATGCTTTTATCTTCAGTAGACTCGACTACTGCAATGGTGTCTTCACAGGTCTCACTAAAAAATCTATTAGGAAGCTGCAGCTGATTCAGAACGCCGCTGCTCGAGTCCTCACTAACACTAAGAAAGTGGATCACATCACTCCTGTTCTGAAGTCTTTACACTGGCTTCCTGTGTGTCAAAGAATAGATTTCAAAATACTGCTGCTGGTTTATAAAGCACTGAATGGTTTAGGCCCAAAATACATTTCTGACCTCCTGCTAAATTATGAACCATCCAGATCTCTCAGGTCTTCAGGGACTGGTCAGCTTTCTGTCCCCAGAGTCAGAACTAAACATGGTAAAGCAGCGTTCAGTTATTATGCTCCAAATATCTGGAACAAACTCCCAGAAACCTGCAGGTCCGCTGCAACTCTGACTACTTTTAAATCCAGGCTGAAGACTTTTCTTTTTGTCGCTGCTTTTAATTGAACTATTCATATTTTAGACTGCACTGTAACTTTTATCCATGTACTTTTTTCTTTTAATGTTTAATTGACTGCCATGTATTTTTTTCTTTTAATGTTTATTTTATTAGCTTTTCTTTTTAATGACTGATTTTAAATGCCATTTTCTTAATCTCATTTTTTGTAAAGCACTTTGAATTGCCTTGTGTTGAAAAGTGCTATATAAATAAACTTGCCTTGCCTTGCCTTGCCTTGCCTTGCCTTGCCTTGCCTTGCCTTGCCTTGCCTTGCCTTGCCTTGCCTTGCCTTGCCTTGCCTTGCCTTGCCTTGCCTTGCCTTGCCTTGCCTTGCCTTGCCTTGCCTTGCCTTGCCTTGCCTTGCCTTGCCTTGCCTTGCCTTGCCTTGCCTTGCCTTACTGTATCTTATAAATTCCCATTTGTTCTAAGCAGGGAGGTTTCTTAATGTGTGCATAACTTGAATGTATTAAATCGATACATATATATTAAAAAGTGTGTGTCCCTCCAGGTTGTTGGAATCGCTGAACACCAGTAATGTCAGAGTTGAGTGGGAAGGTCCAGACCGTCCTGGGCCTGGTGGATCCGGACCAGCTGGGCCGCACAATGACCCACGAGCACCTGACCATGACCTTTGCGTGCTGCTACTTCCCCCCTCCTCAAGGCGACGAGGCGGTGGCGGAGAACCCGTTCCAGATGCAGCACATGCACTGGCTGAGGCAGAACCCCTACAGCTGCCACGAGAACCTGCTGCTGCAGCAGGAAGTCCCCGCCGTGAGGGACGAGCTGCTGGCCTACAGGAAGGCCGGCGGGGGAACTATCGTGGAGAACACGACCACAGGCATCGACCGGGACCTGCCCACCCTCAAGCAGCTCTCCAAGGACACAGGGGTCCACGTCATAGCAGGAGCAGGGTACTACGTGGACTGCACCCACACTGAGGCCACCAAGAGAATGAGTGTGGAGAAGGTGAGGCCCAGTCTGGTTATGGTAGCTGCCAATCTGCACGAAATCTGTCATTCAATCTGTCGAAAAACATCTATATTGTGGAAACTTAAAGAGATAAATAGTCCCCAAAGGCATAATTTGTTTATCAGTTACTCACCCAGTTCTAAATACACTCAGTGTTCACAACACACTTCAAACAGATACTAGTATCAGCCTGAATACATGTGTTTAGGAGTGCGCAGACGACTGGATAAATAGGACTTTTAATTATACTGCACTCGCTGCTAATTTGCTTCTAAAGGGATGTTTTGATATATTTTTGCTGTTTAAACACTGCCCCGATTTACATCAATGTATAATGAATCTCAGATTTTGGATTCTTTCTTCACAGAGAAGGCATGCAAGAAAAAACAAAATCTTTAAGAATGCAAGGTAACAGAGAGCGATTAATTGGTATAAGAATGGTCTTTTGTGGAGTGAAGTATTCCTTTTATCAGCGTTTTTTTTTTTACATGTGTGTCCTAAATTTGCCACTGGTACTGAATGCCTCAGTCATAAGACAGGAAGGACATCCTGCAACAATTTGTAGTGCTGACGAAATGTCCCCTATTCTCTCAGCACATTCTGTTATGTTCTTTTCCATCTCTGTATTGATTTGAACAGGTTTTACGGCCCGTCTAAACTACAGGCATAAAAAAATCTTGAAGCTGGGCGTGTCTGAGGCTTGCCGATTTCTCGCGACCAACAACCAATCAGGAATCTCCCGCCCGCCCCCGGCATACAAAGCAATAGCAATGTTAAAACAAAGTAAACTGGATATACAATCCCCAAACAGGCGAAAACCTACCAGTTTCACCCACTGTCTCTGCCACCTCCCCCGATGCCTCGCTCCTCCGGTTTGTATCCAGGTAGATGAACAGAGACTGATCATACAACACCGGGTGATTCACTACCGCTATAATGAATTTTCCCTCCATTTTTTTGAATATGAGGAAATGACCTGCGTAGTCTCTCCCAGCATACATGCGGTTTGATTGGCTGGCGCTTGTACTGTCAGATTTGCATACGCAGGATTTGATTGGCTGATGCCAAGCATCGAGCCTCAAAAGTTGAACATTGTTCAACTTTTGATGCCGATAGATGCTCGTGATGCTTGCAAAGCCATGCCATGCTCCCCACAATGCAGTTCGGCGAAGTTTAAAAATCTTCTACGTCACCCCATTCAAATGAATGGGCGAAGCGTTGAAAGCATTTTTCGATGCCTGTAGTGTAGACGGGCCGTTAGGAGCAGAGATGGGGTCGTTACTAAAAAAAAGCAATATATTACATATTACATATTACTTTTAAAAAAAAAAGTAATATAGTACACTACTTCGTTACTAGATAAAGTAACTCGTTACTTTACTCGTTACTTTACTCGCAGGGCCGGCCCGCCCCTACAGGCAGATCACGCAGACTGCGGCGCACCTACAGTGTGCGCGCCACAGTTTTGCCTCTGCGAGACTCCACTTGCACCCCCAATTACTATTGCATTAAGGAAGACATAACACACTTTTTATATGCTCTAAAATAGGCTACCAGCCTACCACAACAAGCTAACAGTCTGTGAAACGTAAATACACTAATTAATGAAACCAGTTCAAGACGCATTATTCTTATCATTCTTTATGAGCGCATAACGGTAAGGTATCTAATGACTTATTTAGTAGTCCATAACTTAGTAACAGAGATGGTCAAACTAAAGTGGTAGAGACATGGCAGAATTCCTACAATGAAGCGGGGCATTGAACTGTTCACCCGTGAGAGGGCGATCAACAAAAGAGAGCGAGCGGCCCCGTTGAGGGAGTTTACAGATGAAAAGACTCAGCCATGTTTATGCAGCACTGCACGTGGAGATGTGGTCTCGCAAATCGCGCAGATTACATAGGCCTACATGTATATACACCGATATAAACCTGCGGCGGAAACCCCTCTTGTCTGTCAGTGAGTGTGATTATTTTATAAAAGTAACGAAGTAACGCATGTCGGGGCAATGTTAGTAACTGTAGTGTGATTACTGAGTTATAAAAAAGTAACGCGCTACACTACTTCGTTACCGGCATACGTAATATTAGTACAGTAACGCGTCACTTTGTAACGCGTTACACCCAACTCTGGTTAGGAGTTATGCACTAAGAATCGGCATTACACATCACATGTCACTTGTTAGACGCTTTTATCCAAAGCGACCCACTGAGCCACAGCCTCCCTGCAATCTTCATATATGTTTAAATACTATCATTTAAATATGCTCTTTCCATGTGCATTACCCCTGTTAAAGGGACAGAATCAAGAAAAGAGTCATTTTAATGCACTAATACGTCAGTAAACAGGTTTTATTTCCTGCCGGTCAGCTCACAGACATCATCGTCAGCGAGGTGCTTCACGGCGCCGACGGTACTGACATCCGCTGCGGAGTGATCGGAGAGATCGGCACCGGCTGGCCCATCACTGAGAGTGAGAGGAAGGTGCTGAGGGCCACAGCTCACGCTCAGACACAGCTGGGCTGCCCCGTCATCATCCATCCCGGCAGGAACCCCGCGGCTCCGGCTGAAGTCCTGCGGATTCTCCAGGAGGCTGGTGGTGACATCAGTAAAACTGTCATGTCACACCTGGACAGGTTAGAGGTCCATAGAAAACAGTTAGGGGTTGTTGACAGTGTATTCAGTCTTTAAGATATAAACATTATTGAATTTAAAATCACAATTAGAATTTTCACTCAGTATTTCCTGTCCTACATAACTTTTGTTCCCAATACTAAACAAAATGCCGATTATTACATTTGAACATTTCCCAGAAAAACAGTTCCTGTTAACCGTCATAATACGATCCAGACGATTTCCTGATGGCATACATTGTGAAATTCAGTAAAGAAGCAGCTACAGGCTGCATATTTAAAGTGCTAACATCCAGTGCACATTCAGCTACTTTTTACCTCTACACTCATATCTAACTTTACTCTCCGTCACTGAAAAGCTTTGGACTTGGACACAGGATAAACGTTTGCTTTTAAATGTAGCATCTATCACTTTTGTTCCAGTAACCTTTTCGGCTCTTCCTGCAGGACTATATTTGATGATGGTGAACTGCTTGAGTTTGCGAAGCTTGGGAGTTACCTGGAGTACGATCTGTTTGGAACAGAGATGCTGGACTACCCCTACAACCTGGAGGTGGACATGCCCAGTGACAGCCAGAGAGTGAAGGCGTGAGTAACACAGAGCAGGGTTAAACTTTCAGACTTACATCGTGATGGTATTGTGACGAGAAGTGCCAAACGGGAACAAGTGTGGTCACATTGATAGGATCATGTTACATTTTAATTATACATTTATTCTTATTGATGTAACATTGTCTTGCACTATTTGATATGTTTTATTTGTTTTATGTCCTATATATATTAATGTTCCACTGTTGAAGGAGCCTGTGACCTAAGTCTTTCATTGCCATATCTACACTGTAGCTAATGTGCAAATGACATAAAGCCTTGAATGTTGAATTTAATCTATTTATCTATTCTATATCGCTACCATAGGCGGCGCGTGAGGCTCAGGTTTGGGAAGGCAACATAACTTTTTTTACCTGACGCTGTCCGCCTCCGGCGTCTATAGAAAAGAGATCAACTCAGTGTGCGGAGTTTAAATCTCTCAAGTCATATTACAGGATAAAGGAAATACAGTTTAAACTGCCGTATGCAGAGAAGACGCCGACGTGTCGCACTTATCATTCATATCACATCATCAATCTGATCATCGATCATATAATATCATAATATATCATATATTTCCTTATCTGAGTCAGCTTTTCCAGCCGTATCTGGCCGTGCAACACTCACAGTGTCACATACTGTATGCAGAAGTATTATTTTAAGCAACACATTATGTTGACGAAACACTCGAGTCAAATGTAATTAAAGTCAGATCCACTCGTGTCTTAGACGTGAACGCGCTCTCAGCTGGTGAGAGAAACCCTGGCTTGATTTACCGAGTTGATAACCAGCGTCGTAGGACCGCTTAGCGAGATCTCGTTTGTTAGTTTGTTGTTGTTAGTTTGTTGTTGTTAGTTTGTTTGTTACTCAAACATATCCAGGGTATGTTGAACTGGCTTCGTAGTACAGGGCACAGGTGGCTAGCAGCGCTAATGTCAAAGACACAGACATTATACATTATATTTGTATTTTACCAGGATGCAGTGACACACATATTTGGGAAGGCTTAGCCTTCCCTAGCCTACAGCACCCGCCGCCCCTGATCGCTACATTAGTGTATATCACTTAGAGAAACATTATATTCTACTCCATGAGGAGAGGAGACAGCGTCCTATAGTTTTAGAGACACTAATCTCCCACTACTGTGACGTCATGCGTCAACAGGAGTGATGAATGATTCGCCACATGTTAGCCCACACAAACAATAATGTTTAACACTAGAACCGCCAGAGGTCGCTGTATACCTAAAACCGCAAACGGGTAAAATGTACCCGCTATTGATTTTCAAGGTACAATGTTCTTTTATTTATCATACAGAACAGTGAGTTTTGATCGCACAGGGATGAAACTTATACCAATATAATCTGTGGACTCTCAGCTCTTCATTTGATATCGTTTGTGCAGATAGCATGAAGTATAACATATCGCTAAGAGTGCTGATTTAAACGCTTGGTGTTAGACTTGTGTTTTGTTTAGGTACAAATCTCTCTATCTCTCTATCTATCTATAACTATCTATCGATCCATCTGTAATGTTCTGTTCTATGAACATATAATTGTTTACATAAACAGACGACACGGACTACTTCTCTCATTCCGAGTGTCCATCTTTATTCAACTGGCACGTAACCTGCACACATGCATTACGTCCTCAACGTGAGCTCAGTCATCCAAGATCTTGTATTCTCCAAGATGTTACACTATCTATAACTATCTATCTGTCTATTTCTCTCTCTATTCATATATCAATATATCTATCTATCTATCTCTCTCAATCTATCTATCTATCTATAAGGAACCGCAGTAGATAAAAGGCGTTGCTATAGCAACACGTTATGTTTACGCTGCATTTTCTATGAGGTAAATATTACCCGCTGGCGGATATAGGTATAATGGCATTTTGGCGATTTTTTCAATCTGACTTCATATTGACAATTGTTAACAACTGAGGGTGCTACATAACACACTTTCAGGAAAAGTCACGGACTGGGAGACTTTAATATGTTATTGAAAAAAAGTTACATACAATCTAAAAACAGCTGCGGGTAAAATGTACCCGTTGGCGGTTCTAGTGTTAAGGTCCCTCATTTTGTTTCTTTCTCCACCCTCAGCTTGGAGTTACTCGTGAAGGAGGGCTACGGCGACAAGGTACTGGTCGCACACGACATCCACACCAAGAACCGTCTCACAAAGTACGGCGGCCACGGCTACTCTCACATCCTAAAGAATATTGTGCCGAAGATGCTGATGAGGGGGATCTCGCAGCACCAGGTGGACAAGATCCTCATCGACAACCCCAAACACTGGCTGACCTTCAAATAAGCAAGAAAAGGGAGAAAATCAGAGAGCAATTTGATTAAGCAATTTTGTATCTTCACGCCAATAAATCTCACAATGAAGTCTTACGGCCTGTCCACACACAGGCATGAAAAAAATCTTGAGAAATCTTGATGCTGGGCGTGTCTGAAGCATGGCGATTTTTTGCGACCAACAACCAATCACATGAATCTCCCGCCCCCGACATACAATGGCAATGTTAAAACGAAGTAAACTGGATATAAAATCCCCAAACAGGCGAAAACCTACCAGTTTCACCCACTGTCTCTGGCACCTCCCTCCATGCCTGGTTCCTCCGGTTTGTATCCCGTTAATAGTTCTGGTCGTAAAGAACCGGGTGATTTGCTACCGTAATTTCTCGTTTGGAATATGAAGAAATGAATTGCGGTCTGGCTCTCCCAGCTTACACGCGGTTTGATTGGCTAGCGCTTGTACTGGCGGGATTTGCATAAACGGGATTTGAAAGATTTTTTTCATGCCTGTGTGTGGACGGGCCGTTAGAATGAAGACAATGAGATGTTTGCAATAATCACAGTCCAAACTCTTGTTTAAATATGCTTTAAGACGCTAAAACCAATGTGTTGTTTGTGGATTAATTTGTCACCAGTGTCAACACTTATTGTCAAGCATTGTCTTTCGAATTGAAAAATTAACAGGCTGTTGTTTCATCCAGCGGAGAGGCTTTTTTTATATAAAGACCCTCATTAATTAAAACTTGATTTTATATTTGTGATCATATATTATTCACTTTTCTCGAAATAAAGCTTTAGAGGATCACAGTGCCTCATTAGCACTGTTTTAGTCCCATTTATGTCACCAAAAATCGAATTGTCTTGCAAACGCGAATGCAATCTAAAACAGATATTTTTTCTTTCTCTGGAGGAATTATCTACAGTTGTGCTCTCAATGTCAATGTTGTAGCAAAATGCAAAGATGTTTTTGGAGAATAAATAATGAGCGTGGCAGTAATCAGTATGCCGCTCTGCTCTCGATGCGGCTGTGTTAGATGAGTTGTCCTGTTGCCCCTCAGTGGGTGTCTGGGTGTCAATGGGAGGCTGACTGGATGAAGGACATGTTCTCCTCTCTTCTGGGAACAGGTGGCCTCACAGGGTGACTTCGCCACATGATCAATGGCATGATCGCCACAAGTGACTGTGCGCCGTGAAAAAACATCTAACTTTGATTAATCTTCAGAGAGGATTACAAAATGAGACAGAAGGTTTATTTTTGACATGATTTTGTACACATTAGTTGACAGTCTTATATGAACGGGCTTCACAATCGGCGGGCGGATCAATGAACATCAAGGAAACATTTCTGTCAATGTGACTAAGCACCAGACCATCCTGTTACCAGTTGTCATATTGAGACGAGTTAAAATGGTTATTTTGTCACAGTGCTTCAATTTGAGCACCAGGATGGCCCTTTACAGAAGAATTTCTATGCTGCGCAGAGTTCAAATGTCATCGTCTATAATCATGCATTACTACGGCTTTTAAAATGTTCACTCAAAATGCAACAACCAACAATTATTTTTGAAAAATAAAGCACACATGGACTAATAACAGTGTAAACAGAGTGGTGATTATGTGAGTATATATAATTAAGTGCTGAGGCCAATACATTGAACTTTCAGTCTACATTCACTCATGTTACCACGGCAGCATGTACAGTATGTTTTACAAATCAGGGTGCAATAGCGACACAATCAATCTCACAAGTGTACAATTCAACCCTGTATAATTTAATAGTGAGCTCTTTGCTGTTTCAAAGTACAGTTCTTTATTTATTTTTAAAATGACGTCCTCCACATCCTTCTGGACTTTTTTGCAGGATGTAAATGGTGAGCTCTGCCTCTAATAATCCAGCTGACAGTGATTTGAGCATGAGCGGTGAAGTAAGCTATGCAGAGCAGATCTTTACCCCCTGCAGAGCATCTGTCCAGTGTTTCAGTCAGCGTACAACATGAAGCCGGAAAAAGTGCTGTACTTGTTGTTGTTGCCCCCGTGCGCCTTTCCACCGTCCAGCTTGATGTAAATCTCGTCCCCGGGCTCAAGGTGCAGGACAACACTGTTGCTGGCGTAGTCGTAGTTCTGGTCGGCGTCCTGGGCGATGGCACTGGCTCTCACCTGAAAGGGAAACATTTCTGCTGATGAAACATGTCTTTATTTTAAAATCAGAACCGAGGACAGCTCCATCAGTGACGACATTTCAAATGTGGAACAACTTTACTGAAAGCATGTTTAAGTATCCGGAAAATGTGTTCTTTCAACCATGCGTAAAATGGAGAAACTACAGATTGGTTAATCAAATAATGTCTTTTCACCGTGTATTCAAAACACAGACTAAATAGTAAAGCTATAACAAATTGTAATATTGGTATTTTATTAAACCATAAAGTGTCTTACCAGGTTGTTTTTGCAGAGGTCAGCCCACATGCTGGTTCCATCTCCTCCTCGCATCAGCACATGGTAAACAAAAAAGTAAATCCCCGGTATTGAGCTGGTGAATTTCCCTGAAGAGGGGTCATAGTGGTTGCCCAGATTTGTGACTACGTCGTCAAATTTCAACACTTCATATCCCTCGTGCTGCTTCTTCAGTCCTGCATAAAACGCAATCTTTGGGATTGTGTTGTAAGTAGCAGCACTGATGGCTCCGTTAGGCTCGTTTAATCCAGGTGCTCCGGGTGGACCCGGTACCCCTCTAGTTCCGGGCGGACCAGCAGCTCCAGGGGGCCCGGGCACGCCAACAGGACCCCTCGGACCCATCCTCCCGACGCGCCCCGGCTCTCCTTGAGGACCTTGGATGAAAGTCGGAAGCGACTGAGCGAGTCGGTTCTCTTTGATGGTGTTGGTTGTCTTGGCTGTGTCCGTGGCCGCGGTCCCGTGGGAGTCGCACACCATTTGACAGGACCCCAGCATCTCGTAGCGGGCAGGTGTCCCGGCGGCGTTCACCACCACCGGGATCAGAACCACCAACACCAGCACCAGCGCGACACCACAAACACCAGTTGCGATCATCTGCACTCTGCGGATTCGCTGTGTTCTCCGGAGCTGATGGTCTTCCAGCCTGCTTGTTGACGATATTTTGCTGAGAGAATAATTTCACCTGCTCTCGTTTTATACCGCAACTGCTGGAGATAAAATAGTCCTTTAAATTTGTGTGCACATAAGTAACCATCCACAACTTTTACGCGCTGCAAAAACTCTCTAACCGATTCATCTCAACTCTCCCCCTGTGAGAAAAACAACAACAAAGACTAACAGGAAAAATGACACAATCTGCATTTAATTAGAAAGCCCAAAGTCAGCTGCTCAAGTTTCTGCCCTCCACGGTGCCACAGGAGAGAATAGGCTAGACATAAACCGTTACTGCTTCTGTGTTTGGAGAGTGAGGGGAGGGGTGGAGGTGATGGATGGGATAGAATCCATGCATTTCTTCAATCAAAAGAGAGGAAGGGAAACATATAAAAACATTGATGTAACTTTGAAGCTATGACACGTGACTGCTTTATTTTATGCATTTGTTTGTTGAGTCAGGAGTTAACCTTATCATTAAACAGGGTTTTAACACCACTTGTATATTGATTGCTGTAACGTTACATCCCACAACGTGTTATTAAAACTCAAACTAAAAGGTCTTCATCATAATTAGGCCCATTAAAGATACAAAAAAAGCTATACTCCTTTGGCACCTGGTCACACCTCAATGGCTCCCTGTGTCCAATTGATCACTTGGAGAAAATCTATAGAGCCACTGAAGGAAAGGAGGGAGTCTAGAAGCTGGCAGTGAAGGATGAATTCACCAAATATATTCTGATGAAATGACTGAATGAGGTGTTTAGAAGATAAATAGGACGAGATCACTTAATCAAGTAAAGATGGGAATTCAGAAGTTAAACATTAAATTGTTAGTTGTATTATGAGTCTAAATAACTCGTGTTTTAGATACATGTTTTTATTCATGTTAAACAGACTTTTTAATTATTTAGGAATGACCAAACCTTAATATGAATTTTTAATATTCAAAACAAAATGTCCTGTCAAAAGAAAGTGTTTGTTTCTTTAAGTTTGAGTCATGAAGGGCTAATTCTCGTGGAATAGGGCAGATGATGATGTGCTCATGAATTCAGAGGCTGTCACTCCAAGTCGATGGCTCCTCATGCCATGTGGAGAGATGGATGAACAGGAGGGAAAAACACGGATAACGTTGTTTGTTTGGGAGGAGCGAGGCTTTGATTGCAGCCCGAATGAGATTCTATGTCACAAATGCAACGGTTGAATCCAGGGGCGGACTGGGAGGAAAAAGTGGCCCGGGTATTCATTGACAGACAGGCCTACTTAATGCGCGGCATGTATCGGCCGGCTGGCGACGAAAGTATGTTTCTTAACAAAAAACCTTATGTATTTAATGTTATTTTGGACCATTATTCATATAGTAATCACATTACCTGAGCCCTTGCATTGCCTAGAGCAAAATAGTTACAGCATATATTTATTCATTTTAATGTTAACAGATCATTGATGCAATAACATTTGGACCCAATTTGCCTGCATGGAATAAAACATGGGCGTAGGAAGCATCCTCAATGTGGGTGAGACAATTTAATAGGGGGTGTGGGCAGGTGGTGGACCTCACCTCCTCTAGGGGGGTCCGGGGGCATGTTCCCCCGGGAAGATTTTTTTTTTTAAATGTTGAAGTTAAATGCATCAATCTGGTGCACTTTGAGAGCAAAATTATTTTTGCATTTCAACACGTTCTTCTCCACAGCCGCGCGACCTCTGAGTCAGACGTCACTTCCCCCTTTTCTATCCTACGGGTACAGCCACTCCCCCTGAACCCTATTTCCCTGCCAACCCCCCCCCCCCCCCCCCCTATGCAAGCCCCTCCATCTGAACCCAGGACTTGCTACAATACTGTATACTGTATACACAAACTATACAAAAACGCCTTTACGCTTTGGAGCTTGTTTATCCATCTGTAAGCAACTGCCAGCTAGGTCTCTCAGTCACTCACTCTGATCGTTCACTGCGCAGTGACAGCTGCTACGGGCCTGATGTGTGAAAGTGAAACTATCTGATATATAGAACATAGGTAGCCTATCAACACGCCTATCAAACACCCCTCCAGGGAGTGGGCCGGTAGGATTTTTTTTTTACATTTTCTTTTTGGCCCTCCGGCCCACGCACAGCACCGGCCCACCGGGAAAACTCCCGGTATTCCCAATGGCCAGTCCGCCCCTGGTTGAATTGTGATCTCAAAAAGTGGCATACAGAAATGTTTAGTTCAAATGGATGTTCATTTAAATTTTTTTTAAAAAGTTTGGTTTTTGTCACAGAATTATTATTTTTAAATCATTAAAATGTATTTGCTTGAGAGACAATGAGGCTAAATATTTAATTATGTACCATATCTGTATCTCTGGTTTCTCAAGATATGTATGAATACATATGACCCATCGTTTTTGGGTACTTTTGATAATATTTTTCCTCATCGAGGTTGTGAGCCATGAGTTGGTGGAGAGTGGAGACCAAAACAAAGCTAAAAGGATAATAAATGTTGGACTTACATTTATTTGGTGGCAAAATGACCGTACAAAAAAATAATTTGATCCCATTTCAAAAACTTTCATTTGTGGCTGAAACCAGAAAAACACTTTCTCGAATACACTCGCAGCAAGTATGTCTGTCAATCAATCTGCCACTTCGGTCCAAAGTAAAATATCTCAACAACTACTCACAAATTCACAAGACATTTTATCTTGGAACTAACATCTTATCATATTTATAATTTGTCCAATACTTAATGTTTAGTTACTAAACATTAAGTATTGGACAAATTATAAATATTCTCATTTATTATATTATATTCTCAAATTCTCATTTAGTACTAATGAGACAATATTAGCATAATGACATGATAAGCCAAGAGGATGATTATGGTAAACATTGTCTCTGCTGAACATCAGCATGTTACCTTTGTCATTGTGAGCGTGTTAACATCATGGGCATTGGTTAGCATTCTGAGTTGGTGCAGTTCATGTCAAATGAGAACAAATTCTGAAAGTTTGTAACAAAAAGACTGGAAATAACTAGGATGTCAGATATGAATACAAAAAGAAGCAATCTTCTAACAATTTTGAATTAAAAAAATGTATTTGAATTGTAACCAATATTTGCTTTGGTTGTTAATATATATTTTTCCTGTCTACATTTCCTGCTTTTCCTTTTGTTTAGTTTAATTCATTCATCTTTGGTACAGCTGACAATGGTCTGGGAGGGCACTGCCGTTGATTTAAAATATATTATAATTTCCAAAAGAGCACACGTTTTCTGTGGGATGGGTGTAAAGTGAGAAATAGAATAGTATATAAAGAATAGTAGACACACTCACACAAACAAAGTAGGACATACTGTGGCGGCTATGAGTCAGCGAGCACTTGTTAGTGGTCAGGCTCTCTCCCTCCAGTTGGCACGGGCCTCCAGTGACTCAGGGAGACTTGTCGACCGGGAGCCAAAGTGAACAGCAGTGTCAAAATCCACCAAAAGCTGTGGGAAGAAGACGAAACTTGTATTAGCTGTTCACAGTATCACAACAAATGAATCACAGTGCACATTTTCCATATCTGTTATTAAAAAAAACATATCCAAAGTTGACTTTCATCACTCTTTTCCAGCACAAGTCCTGAGTAGCTCACCGTGTTGAAGGATTCCTCCGGTGGTGAAGGGCTGACAGATTGTTTTGAGTCTCGACTTCATTTACAACCAGTCAGGCAGGAGTCCTGGGGGAGCCTGATGATTTTTTGACATCCGGACAAGCAGATGTTCAGAGGACATGAATAAAACATACAGCCCATCTGACCAGAGACCGAAGACTTTCAGAGTGTCTAATGGAATCTGAGGCGTGATTTTAATTCCTCTTTCTGATAAGTGTGATGCTGAATGAAATATGTATGATATTTATGTAGCCTGGCCTGGGTGGCTAAGTAGGGTTCAATTGTTTATCGCAATCAAAGCTGAGACAGGTTTGTCAGAGGAGGTTTGTGATGAATGGGAAGGGAAAGTGAATGGACCTCCCATTACCGGCCAGGAATACAAACAGAAATATTATGTGACTATTGACACCAAAGTGTTTAACAACAGCTAAAACAGCATGTGTGCCGGGCAGCGGATAAGTCCTTCAGTACTTTTCACACCTTCTGCTCTTTCAGAAATGAGTGTTCCTTTTTTCTTTTCCAACAGAATGAATAAGCGGGGCTCAACAGTTCAGCTCAGCGGGGGGGGGCAACAGAATGTGTTACCGCACCACCCACTCAAAGCCGGTCCTGTACTGTATTTAAGATGGAGAGGAGAGGCAATCAAAATAATCCAGGGCGGGACTTGAGTTTCATACTGGAGAGCAGCGATTCAAAATTCATTCAAAATCAAAGTCTTTGTGTTGTTTCATTTTATTATGCGTCTCCAGTCTACAGCCAAACAATACCTTTAAAACCTTTATTTTGATTTGTATTAATTTCCTTGTTTCACTGTGCTGCTGGTATTTAAAAGTGTGCGTTCATGTAGGCTACTCTCGGTGGATTTATGAAAAAATACACGTAAGGTCTTAAAATATTTTACAGTGAGATCTTCCCACCGGAGGGAAAACTAAGCCAAATAAAATCTAAAAAGGTTATTAAAAACTTCAAGCATTTCAGGTCACTCCTGTTGTGTGTAATATAAGTTTGTGTGCATGTAAATGGTCTGCAAATGCTAAAATCCCAAAGTTCCGCACAGAGGTAGTTTCTCTCCTACAAATTCCCCCCGCCTGAAACGCCTGGATTGTAGTCCTTTGTTTACATCTGCAACATAGTGACATCACTATGTAACACTCGTGTTTCTATTTTCTATCGATCCAACACATTGTACCTGATAGGTTAAGTGTCTGGACCCCTCTAAGCGGTTAACTTATCACAACATAGCCGGCCAGATAACCAATCAGAGCAGACTGGGCTCTGGTTTCAGTTGCAATAGGTGCTGCAGCACAGGCAGTATATGAGAAAGATGAAGATCTTTTTAAACAATAAAGCATGTAAACATGACACAGTAGAGGCACAAAAACAAATGTGAATCTGGAAATGAGCATAAATATGTCCTCTTTAAAACAAATGAATAATCTGACAACAATGTAAGAATATTTCACTTGTTTTCCATGCATGTTTCAGATATTACCTTTGCAATTTCCACACTGTAACATACAAATATCCTATAAAATACTACAGTAAAACAAATACCCAATAGATTATTCTGTACACTGAAAGCAATCTGAGGACTGGTTTATAAACCATGACATACTTAAAGGGTCAATTTGATATTGCAAAGTATAGAAAAACTTCAAACAGTCTTTTTTATGACTTTA